TGTCTAACCTAATGACAAATCAAGAAGTAAGTACATGTCAATCCAATGAAACGTGTTTTGACTGTCAGATTGGCAAAGATAAAAAATGAGAGGAAATATTACCATTGGCAAGCATTTGCTGAAACACACACTCTCATATTCTTTCAGCAGGAATGCAAATTTGTGCTGCAACTGTAGAGGACAATCTGGCACTACCTACTAAAATTCAAAATACACATAATCTGACTCAGAAATTCACCTTCGAGGATTTAATCCTAAGGAAATATCAAAGGTAACTTGAAAACTGAAAACAATGCAAATGTCCCCAAAGAGTAGAATTACCCATAAAATGTAATACTCCACAGACATTAAGTAAAGATACTTGTGTTATTTTACCTAAAATGTTCAGCAAAAATATAAACTACAGAATAATATACATCTACATGTGCTGGTTTAAACAACAGACATGTGAAAAAGTTGGAAGACTGCATACTAAGGAAGTTATCTTTATCTTGTATTTTCCATTAATATATTTCCATAGTGTTTCAAGTTTTTATAACCATGTATTATACTGTAATTTCCCTGGTGGCTCAGATGGCAAAGAGTCTGCCTGCAATGCAGGAGACCTGGGTTCAATTCCTGGGTCAGGAAGGTCCCCTGCAGAAGAAAATGGCAACCACCCCAATACTCTTGCCTGGAAAATCCCATGGACAGAGGAGCCTGGCAGGCTATAGTCCATGAGGTCACAAAGAGTTGGACATGACTGAACAGCAAACACACAACACATGCTGTAACCAGAAAAATACATACTTTAATTCAATATGTACAGTTAAAATAAAATATGTAAATAATAATTTAGTACCTAAACAAAGTGACTCCTATAGGAGTCTACAGTAATGGACTTGTCAGTTACCAACCGTGGACTGCCTGTATTTTCATGTTTCTGTTCCAAATGGAAAGGAAAGAACATAGAAACCATTAAGATGGTGAGACTGGGAAAGAAGCCAGTTCCCTAAGGACTGTGTTATTGACCAAGCAATGCAGTGAGCTGATCTGGGAAAAGATTTGCTTTTACAGCCTAAGGAAGATTAAAGTTCCATAGTCTTCATGCAAAAGAGCAGAGTCAACATTTGGGCTTTGACTTGATTTGCTGGCCCCAGCAGATCTCGGAAGGACATATGGAATGAAGATGGAAATCTCCAAAATCTGTCTGTGGATTGTTGGAATGGAATTTTTGGATCATCTGGCATTTCATTTAGGGAGACTTTTTCCTCATTTTAGTATTACTTTGTTTTAAGAAGAAACAAAGTAAATCTGTTCATGTTACTTCCCTACTTAGAAATCTATTACTGGTAACCATTGTTCAAAGGATAATGCCCAAATTCTTCCTTATCAAGGCAAACAGGTGCTTAACATTGTGGTCCCAACCTACCTTAACTGGCCTTATCTAGCATCTCAGTCCATCCAATTCCACACCCAACCTACACACACACAAACAAACAACTTAGTGAAAAGTTTGATAAGGACACAGGAGAAATATAGTGTGGACTTCTCATTATCTGTGGAGCATTCCCTGAGTTTGTGTGTTATTTATGCCACTTTATTTTATTTATTTAAGTGCTTATTCTCTGCCCTAAAGTGTAAATAACTTATTCAAGTAAAGTATAAGGAAAATGGAATCCAATACCAGCTTTAAAGATTCACAAACCAACCATTTCACAGGAAGCACGATGAAATTCAAATGGAACAAAAAACAAAAAATAAATGTATCATGATAAAATTACATCCAGCGCAAAATATGACTGTGATTATTTATCCTAGGCAACTCTACAGACCTCGGCCCTAAGCCGGCGGGGGCAGGGGCCAGCCCACACTCCCCACACTTTACCCTACAAGAGCGCGGACGGGGGAGTTTGCTCTGTCCAGGTGACCGTGTAAGGAGAAGGAAGCCCTCTACCTGGGCAGAGCCAAGTACAGAGCTCACGGGCCTGCTGGAAAGAAGAGGTCTTCCTGGAAACGCTTTTGGAAGGAAGAAAGTCTACTGTTTAGGGAAAAGCTCAGTGGAAGCCGTGAGATCACTGAACAAAGGGAGTCACGCTCATCTTGGTCTCCTGGGTGTTTATGTCCCGGTGGGAAAGGCAAGCTGAATCTCTGGATACTGAAGCACACAGTAAATGGTTGTTGCTAGGGACAGAATGGTTGTCATATGTGATAATAACCCTTCAGAGAATATGCTTTTCTCCTTTTGGTAATAACCATTTGTTTCTGCTTTTTCCTTTCCCCCCCACTCCCTCAAACAGAACCTGGCCTACAAATACTGACCCCTAAGCACATTTAAAAGGAGCTGGTTGGTGGTAAGAATTTGGAAAATAAAACAGCCGAGCTAGAAAACAGAGCCTGCACACATGAGTTTACTTCTTAAGAATGGTTTTTCCCAAGAAAAGCATTACCATTCATTTGAGAAGTCAGATAATATATATTTTGTGTCTTCTCTGCAGGATACATCATACTAGACACTGGGGATAAAATAAGATACAGTCCATTGCCTTGAGGATGTTACAGATGTTAAAACAAAGAAGTGCATTAAACTGGGACTTCCCTGGAGGTCCAGTGGTTAACACTCCGCCCTTCCACTGCAGGGGGCTCGTCTTCCATCCAGGGAGGGAACTAAGATCCCACTTGCCTTGCAGTATGGCCAAAAACAAAGAGCAAAAGAAAAGAAGTGTATTAAACTATTAGAGGTGGCAACAATGAAAGCTTATAAAGGTAGAGGCTGAGCACAAAGAAAGACTGATCAATTCAACCTGGGAGACCCAGAAAAGGCTCCCCTAAAGGAATGACTCTTAAGATGAGTCTAGAGAAAGCAGCAGACTGCTTGGGTGGCAAGGAGGGCAGAAGGCTTGGAATCCTAACAAAGGAATTTGTATGAGAAGCAAAATTTGCATGGCCCATTCAGAGATGTGGGGCCCTGCTCTGAAGGGCCAAGTCAGACAGTGCAGGATCTTAGAAGCCTTATTAAGAATCTGAGCTTTATCTTAAAGGCAATAAAGAATCACTTAATAGTTTCAGACAAGGAAACAACAGGCAAGGATCAAACCTGAGTTTTAAAAAGATCTTGCGGGCGGCAAAGTAAGGGATAAAATAGAGAACACTCTAGGCAGGATAAAAGAGATGAGAATCAGAAAAGTGGAAAACAGCAATGGTACATGTAAGAAATTGTTATTTCATCATCCTAGCTGGGGTGGGGGTGGGGGATATACTGACAAAGACTAACATTTAATCCATTGTTTTAGTATCAAAATGTTTGTATTGTACACATCTTCCCCCAGCCCTGAAACTCCAACTATACTTCCCTGATAAATCCAGAAGAAGCATATGGGTTGTTTTATAGCCCTGCAGGAGTGTTAATGCTAACCGTGCACTGGCATCTAAAGAAGACCTTCTAGTTCAGGGCAAACCGTTAGTCTCATGGAAATAGGTAGAGGAACCATTCACTAGAAAACGAACCTGACATTTACATGGGCTTTCTTAGAGCTCGAAAGAATTTCCTAGGATGAACAGTGATGCAATGTATTTAGACAAATTTCCCACATCCTTCTGAAGAAAATATGGTAACACAAGGTCAGACTGATGAGATTGAAGATTGGCCTCCTCAAGTATCTATCACTCAGTAAATTAGTCAAAATGTTTATTAGAAACAAAATATTTTAGATATAAACTTAGCAAGTATATATAAGATTATATATATTATATGTAGCTATGTAAATAATATATGCATATATATAATATACTTTACCAATATTTATTTAGTTCCAATTGGGTTTCATGGGAAGTGAGAAATGAAACATAACCCCTGCCCTTGGGGAATTTACACTTGAAAAAATAAAAGTTTATACATATATATATCCTTATATTTTCTGAATACAAAATATTATGTCATAAAAAGTAAATTTGAAAATGTATTTCATAGCATACTTCTCTCACTCTCTCTTTCTCTCTCTTTTCCTTTGACCCAGTTTGTGGCAATTTTAGTTCCCAGAACAGGGATGGAACCCCAGTTCTTACAGTGAGAGCTCAGAGTCCTAAACACTGGACTGCCAGGAAATTGCAGCATACTTTTGTTTTGATTATATAAAGCACTCAAATATTTCAGAAGTTACTTTCACCCTGTGTATACATTTCTTTTTAAATGGTTTAGAATCATTTTTAACATTATCAATTCAAGGTGACAATTTGGGTAATATAGAAAGTATTTTAAGTGGAAATTTTAAATTATTACAACTACTACTTTTTTAATCACAAACTCTGCATCCTATTGCTTCCTTCACCCATCATAGGCAATTCATCAGGAAGTCTGTCTCTTTATCTCCTAAATACCTTCAATACCATCCACTTTTCTCTGTCTCCACTGATACTACTCTAATCCAGGTTATCATTATCTCTTCATGGATTACTACATTATCTTAACTAGTTTTGCTAATACTCTTGTCCCCCTTTCACCTACTCTCTATCAGTCATGAGTGAATTTGTTAAAAAGTAATTCAGATAATGTCACTCACCTACATATTATCGATCAATGGTGGGTAACTCAGAAGCAACTACTAATAAGCAGCTCTCCAGAAGTTGTTCATCATGACAGTGATCTGTTATGATGGAATAACTGTTGCATTTTTTTATCTACTTAATTTTTCCATGGATGCAAAACACCCCCTCCCCCACCTTTGCTTCTTGAGTATGATTCTGTCTCGCTTCAATTCCTGTCTCACTATTCCACATTAAATGAAGTTTGAAAATGATTCAGCTACACAGGATCTCAAAGGTCCTAACCTCCATTAGTTTTGTTTTTATCTGCATAACTCAATGAACAATTATACAGCAACCCAATATATAAAGTGATATGAGCTCTATCTTACTAGAATAAATGTGTATCTGTATTTCCTGTAAAGACACTTGGTAAGACTTACCTAAGATAATAACCTGGAGCTGGCTATGTGCTTGACTCTACTTGGTGGACAAGCCTGATGGTGCTGATGGGAGCTTATGGGAAGTTTCTTCTGATCGCTTTAATTTTTCTCAGTGAATCCAGAAGCAAGGTGAGAGTGAAGGTGAAAGATGAGGTATTAGAGGTTTAAGAGAATGGAGAAATGAAATCATAACATAGAGTGATAAAGCGAATGGTCTAAGGCACTAGTTTGCCAAGTGTAGTGCCCAGACGGCAGTATTAATAAAACACGGGAAGTTACAAGAAATTACAAATCTCAAGGCCCTCCACACTTACTGCATCAGGAACTTTGAAGGTGAGGTACTCCTGGATATCTTCTTCTAACTAGCACCTGCCCCAGTGAGAGTAATAATACACTGAAATCTGCATGCATGGGATGAGGGAACTGCTGTAACATTTCTGGCCAGCGTTAACAGCCCCTGGAGGTTCAGGATCATGAATATAAAAGGAAACCAGGTACTACTGTTGCACATTTTTCTTCGGCCAGATTTAACGGTGGGGTGCCAGGCTTGAAGTATATGGAGATTTTAATTTAACTCAAGTTTGTGGATTCCTGTTAATGTACTTTTTTTTTTTCATTTCAATGTATGCTTTTATCAATGTTAAAAATAAAACAAAAATATATTTGAAAAATAAAACCTGGGGACTTCCCTGGTAGTCCAATGGTTGAGAATTTGCCTACCAACGCAGGGGACGAAGGTTAGATCCCTGATGGGGGAACTAAGAGCTCACGTGATAGAGCCAAAAACAATAAAAAATAAAACCTGAACCATATGGTTTTCATCTCTAAAGCAGAAACACAGTATGAAGCCTAAGTCACTAGATTGAATCCAGCTTCCTCATTACACATGTGAGTATACCAATTGATTACACTGGCCTCCTTTTATTTCTATTGATAAGAATTCCTACTTGGAATAGGAAATTGGACACTGGTTGTGTTCAATAATGACAATGATATTTTTAAGAACTGTTTTTCTGGAAACTTTTTAGCGTACTTGAGTTAAATCAATGATAGTCTAATATTTTTCTCTGCCAACAAAAGAGAAGGCAATACAGATTTATCAGAAAGAGTAGAGGGGAGGTAGGAAGAAACTGCTTCTCCTCTCAGAAGGGAATATCAGAAAGTTGGTAATTTGGCATAAGAGGGCGTGGACAGAGGTAGTTTTTTAAAAGCTTCCATCCTACGCATATCATTTATTTACTGGGGGGAGGAAGTATAGTTGACTTACAATATTGTCTTAGTTTCAGTTGCAGAGCAAAGTGATTCCATATATGTATATGTGCACCTGGTATACTTCCTTTCCACTTCTGGAATCACTTGGGAATTTTACTGATAACCTCAAGGTCAAAGGGTCAATCCCTAGATTCCTGAGTATCAAACGCAGTCCTCTCTGCTTGCTGTTTCTAAGCACAGGATCATGACTCTAGGTTAGAGAACAGTAAAAAACAGCACACCCTGAGCAGTCCCATGACAGAAAGGAACACATAATCCTAAAGGAAATCAACCCTGAATATTCACAGGAAGGACTGATGCTGAAGCTGAAGCTCCAATACTTTGGCCGCCTGATGCAAAGAGCCGACTCACTGGAAAAGACCCTGGAGTTGGGAAAGATTGAAGGCAGGGGGAAAAGGGGGCGACAGACGACAAGATGGTTGGATGGCATCACCGATTCAATGGACATGAGTTGAGCAAATTCCAGGAGATGATGAAGGACAGGGAAGCCTGGCGTGCTGCAGTCCAAGGGGTCACAAAGGGTCAGATACGACTGAGCAACCGAACAACATCACACACGCACTTGCTTCCAGTTTCAGCAATCGGTTTTTACATCTAGAAGGCTTCCTCCCCTACATCTCAACATATTAAGTGTTTCACATTATTTAGCATTCAGACAAGAGAGACTTTTCCTTACTTATTTTAACTCTGCTTCTCTTCTTTCATTGAACTCATACTGAATATGTTATTTTTACCTCAGAATCCAGAATTTTCCTGAACCCACAGACTAGGTTAATGCTTAGTCGCTAAGTCATGTCCAACTCTTTGCAACCCTAGGGATTACAGCCCACCAGGCTCCTCTGTCCCTGGGATTCTCCAGGGAAGGATACCGGAGTGGGTTGCCATGCCGTCCTCCAGAGGATCTTCCCGACCCAGGGATCAAACCCGTGCCTCCGGTGTCTTCCTCACTGCAGGCCAATTATTTACAGCTACTGCGGAAGCCATAGACTACGTTAAGATGCCTGCTAAACCCTGCCAACAAATAGCTCTTACCATTCTCAGAGCACCCATCAAATCAGAAGTTAATGAAATCATTTGTTTAATTGCCTGATGTATGCTCCATCAAGGCAAGGATCTTGTGCATTTTGTCCAATTGTGTATCCCAAGTGCCTACTACAAGCCCTGGCACAGGATATATGCTCAGTAAATAACGGTGGAAATAATAAGTGAATATCCTCTTATACGCTAAGGGTAGTCAAATATTTACATTAGATGAAAAGTGTGGCAGTCTGTTAGATGAATGGCCTCAATAAACTGCCCCTCCGCTGTTCACATCCTGTGCAGTCCCCTCTTCTCAACTCTGACACTGTACCCAATAAAACACAGCAGACGACACTCTGTGCCGATACTCAGGCCCAAACCTTTAGAAAGCTTAGCAGCATCCTCTTTCGGTGATTTGGAAGTTAATCCATGTACATAGGGGCTTCCGTGGTGGATCAGTGGTCAAGAATCTGCATGCCAATGCAGTAGATGTGAATTCGATCCCTGGGTCAGGAAGGTCCCCAGAGAAGGAAAGAAATGGCAACCTACTCCAGTATTTCTTGCCTGGGAGAGCCCATAGACAGATGAACCTGGCAGGCTACAGTCCATGGAGTCACAACAGAGTTGGTCATGACTTAGCGACTAAACAACCTCCACCATGTACATAACCCAACTACCCTGAGACCACTAAGATAGAAGGAAGCCCAAATTACCTATATACTGGGGCTCCATGGAAGAGCACTGAGAATGTAGCTGACAGCAAGAAAGGAATCTCTTCCCCAAGCCAGCACCAACTTCCCAGGCCTGTAAATGGGCCATCTGAGATGTGGACCATCCAACCCCAGTCTAGCAGTCACATGTTTTCTAGACCTAAGAGAATCTGATGTGTTATTAAATCAAGCATTATGAAGTGTCTGCACATTGTAGGCATCACTTAATCCTCACAAGGGTTCTATGCTACTCATGGTGGTAGTAGTTAGTTACTAAGTCATGACCAATTCACTGTGACTCCATGGACTATAGCCCGCCAGGCTCCTCTCTGTCCATGGAATTTCTCAAGCAAGAATAGTGGATGGGTTGCTATTTCCTTCTGCACGAGATCCTCCTGACTCAGGGATCAAACCTGGGTCTCCTCCATTGTCGGCAGATTCTTTACCGACTGAGAGACCAGGAAGCCCCATGCAACACGTATTAGTTCCAGTTTACAGATGGGCAAACTGAAGGTTAGAGAGATGAAGTAACCAGCCGAAGGTCACACAGCAAGCAAGATTCAGTGCCAGGATTTGAACTCAGCAATGCACGTTCAGAGCCCAAGATCTTAAAAACACTATAGTGATTCTCAAAAAGCAACACCACCACCACCCATTCATCAGAGCCATTTCATTGTGCTTAAAGGAAGAAGACAGCGTATCTGTCACACTAACCACCTCTCTTCCTAGTCCCAGCAGAGCTCCTCCAGGTCACGTGTGAGAATCTGCACTATTTCACCTCTAAACGCGGTTGGCAGAGAGAGCTTTAGCCTTGCCAACATCAGCACTATGGTAATGATATGACTGTGCAAAGAAAATCTGTCTGACCAAAACTTTTCTCCCCAACTGGTAGATGCGTGAAATGTGCCGTCTCAGAGGAGAAGTCACAATGCTCTTTACATACGTCTGTAAACCCAACTCTCTGGACTCAACTTCTTCATGTGTTAAATTAGAGAATTCTATTTTTTTTTAATTCTATGGTTCTATTTTTTAATTTCTTTAAGATAAATTTAGCAGCAATATCACTGCTGCTGCTGCTGCTGCTAAGTCGCTTCAGTCGTGTCCGACTCTGTGCAACCCCATAGACGGCAGCCCACCAGGCTCCCCCGTCCTGGGATTCTCCAGGCAAGAACACCGGAGTGGGTAGCCATTTCCTTCTCCAATGCATGAGAATGAAAAGTGAAAGTGAAGCTGCTCAGCTGTGGCCAACTCTTAGCAACCCCATGGACTGCAGCCTACCAGGATCCTCCATCCATGGGATTTTCCAGGCAAGAGTACTGGAGTGGGGTGCCATTGCCTTCTCTGGCAATGTCATTAGGTTAGGTAAATTAGATAATTTGACTGCTTCAGTCATTAAGCTAGGCAAAGCAGTATAAAATACCATGACTTAGTTGAATGGTACTGGTAATACATGGGATTACTACTCTGAAACCTACAAGAAAAGGAAGAATTTAGGAAACACTTAGTACAAATGACTCCCAGACAAATTATCTACATTAAATCTGCCAGCAAAATTAAAACCTGTTGAGAAAAAAAAATTGTTTAAACCCAAGAATAAGAAATGCGACAGAAGTAGCCCTCATGGTCTCCACCAGCATGCACAGCATGCAGCTAAAGCTATAGATGGGTTAAATTTTTAAATCTCCATTTATTCATTCCATACAAGTTTACTGAAAGTATTTAATGAAAACATTTCTGTTCTAATCAATATGAACAATCAGAAATGTACATTAAAAGAAGGAAATGTACATGACAGTATCTTTCTGGTAGCTGAAAATCTAGTAGGAAAGAAAAGATACATATGTGGGTAATTACAATCAAGAAAAATGTAATATATGAAATACTGTATGATTCTACTCACATGAGGGGCCTCCCCGCTGCTGTGACTAAGTGGTAAAGAATCCACTTTACCAAACAATGCAGGAGAGGAGAGTCTGATGCCTGGGTCAGGAAGGCTCCCTGGAGGAGGGAATGGCAGCCCACTCCAGTATGCTTGCCTGGGAAATCCCACGAACAGAGGACCCCGGCTACGTCCATGGGGTTGCAAAGAGTCGCACACGACTGAAGCAACTAACACTACTCACCTGCGGAATCTAGAGTAGCCACATTCAT